TTGAGACCTCTGTTCTTGAACAGCCCTCCCCCCTTTTTTTATGGAGAGGTTTTTGCCATAGGTGCGTGCACTCTCCAGAAAGAGACAGAGAGACAGAAAGCGAGAAATCACTCCCCAGGGGGGATGGCCACGCCACAATCCTTTCTCCTCCATTCTCCTCTCAGGATCTTGGGCATGCACAAACACGCACCTGGCGTGAGTTTAAGCCACTGGGTCCGGGATTCGAACTGCGGTCGACTACATGGGAGTCCAGTGACATAGCCATTACGCGAACTGCTGGTCCCTTGAACAGCCCACTTTTTGACTGGACTACTTCCACCTCTTGGTGGCTATTGCTTTGATCTTCAGGCTTTGTCTTCAGGACCCTACAGGAAAAGCCATGTGTCATAAGTTCTTTGAAGAAATACTTCAGCATCTTGATCCACTTGTTTAAAATTTCTATTGAACGTCCTGCTGTTGTCTGCAGCTGATAGAAGTGCAACAGTCTAGGCCCCTATCAAGCAGAAAGTTTGCTCAACTTCAGTTTTCTAGTTAGAATTGTGTAAGCTGAACAATTTGAGATCTCCGTGGTGTCGGCTTTTGTTTCTGCTGCTGATCATCAGTCCTCTTCTTGTGTGAACAAGATTAAGATTTTCTTCACAAATTGGTGTGGTCTGCCACTGGGGACATCATCTTCAACATTGTCTCATCCTTTCTTAAGATGAGTTATTTGCAATGTTCTGGGATGAGTTCAGAACGGGTCCAGCTGACTCTATAGGGTCAGTTCCCAGGATATGACTGACCCTGCCCACAGGATGCAGGCCGCTCCTGCAGGTAAAAGTGGCACCTTGGCCAACTGCTTCCTTCCATTCCTTCTCTCCCTCCCAATGATCTGCTTGTTGCCCCCAGGAATCTTAGTGTGAGTGACAGGATAAAAGGATCGGCAGTTGCGACCTACAGAGAAAAGAGTGGGATGAAGAAATGTTCTGTCTCTTGCTCTGCGTGGGCTCAGATTCATCAAGCTATATGGTAAGTGCTGTGTCACTGTATGTGTATATCCTAGTTCAATTTGAAACAGTTTTTAAATAATGGTAATTGGGGAAAATACACGGAACATAAAATCTACCATTTTAACCAACTCTAAGTGTACCGCTTAGCGGCATTAAGTACACGCCCACTGCGCTGTCTTCAGTCACCACCATCTACTCCAGAATTTTCACATCTTCCCAGGCCGAAACTCTGTACCCATTAAACACGGACTCCCCTTTTCCCCCACCCCCTACCCTAGCAACCACTGTTTTACTCTGTTTGTATGGTTTTAGCTGCTCTGGGCACCTCATGGAGGTGGAATCAGACAGTATTTGTCCTCTTGTGTCTGGCTTATTTCACTTGGCGTGATGGCCTCAGGGCCTACCTGTGTTGTAGCATGTGTCAGGATTTCCTCCCTTTTTAAAGCTGCCTAATATTCTTTTGCATATATAAAATTATTTTATTTTAAAATAAGGAAACTTGTAAAAATGTATAGGTACATAAAAAGGTTGGCCAGCCTGATTATTTTTACTCATTTTTCTCTGAGGATCACGTGTATGACGCACTGCGATGGGTCAAGGCACTCCACAAAGCACTTGAAGTCCACTCTTACTTACTCCTTGCAACTTTATTTCCACTTTTCAGTGAGAAAAATCTATAAAGTCAAAGAAGTTAAACAACTTTCCCAAAGTCATAGGGTTGGAGAGAAGTGGTGTAGAATTCAGCCCCTGGTCCGGGAGGGCTTTCAGGCGCAGAGCTGTCCACCATTCAGGGTTAAGGTCTCCAGTGAGAGGATGCCGTTTCATGTGAAGGACAACGGAGACGATAAAGCACCACTGAAACATGCACTCTTGGAGCGTGCTGACAGCCTGGAGGTTGTTGCCCCCACAGTAGGTCACTCCAGGTCCCTGTGTCTTCTGTCAGTCCTGTGATGGGACTGTGGTCAGCAAGCACTATGTGGGGATCCCTGCCAATGGCTACATAGCAGTCCACCCCCTACATGCAGGGCTTCTCCCCTTCCCTTGCCATTCTTTCCTTTGAGAATTGGTCTAGATCTACTATTCCCATGGTTATGGCTCTTACCTGTTGAGGTGTGATGGGGTATCCCGATGCCACCCTGGATGCAGTCAAGAGGCCCCACATTACCCTGACTTAATGGCATGTAAGGGGCACTACCTTATGGCCTGGGTCTAACAGTTTAACATTCCCGTTTATAGAGCTGAGTCTGTCTTTCCCAAACTGTCCATTACAACAGGTTTTGCACTTATGGTCTAAAATATGAGACATTCCTACCAATTTCTTCTTGGTGGGGCACAAATTGTCTTCAAAACTTGTGTTTGAAGCATTCAGGCTGGCCTCAGTTTTCTAAAACTGGGTCCCTGGAAACCACATGGATTTATGAAGCAGGAACGGTGTAAGTGGGAATGGCAAACTGGAAAACAAAACCATTACAGGTCTTGCGAATAATTCCACACAAGCAAAGATATGGCTATACAATTACGGTTGACCCTCTGGATCTCGGGGTCCTCATCTCCAGATTCAACCTACCGTGCTGGAAACTGTGGCTTCGTTGCTGATGTGTACCGTTGGGCCTGCAAGGGCTGTCTCTATTGAACATGGGCAGACTGTTTACCTTGTCATTCCTTAAACTATGCAGTATCACGGCTTACATAATATGTACATCGTATTGCTTAAAAATATTGAGGAGGATGTGCACAGTTTACATGCAAATACTACACTATTTCATTGATTTAGTTTTCAAATCAATTTTATTCATGATAGAGAGCACAGGTGCACTCACAAGACAGAGAGAAAACATCCCTCCACAGGGTCTTGACATGCTGTGATTCCCATCTTCTAGGCCTCCAGTTGGTCAGTTTCTTGGCTACCTGCTTGCACCCAGTGTGTTCCAAGCTCACCAGGGAGCTGAACCCGTGGTCAGCCTTGTGGCTTTCAGCACTCTAGTTCAGCATACCGCCTGTGCCATGGAGACTGGCCATCTACTTTATATAAAGGACTTCAGCATCCATGGATTTTGGTGTCCATGGGGGTCCTGGAGCCAGTCTCCCAGGGATACCAAACTCTATTTATAATTACTGAACATGCAGAAAAGTCTTCCCCAAGCACCATAAACTCCAACCTTGCCAAAGCAAAAATGATCTCTTAGGCTGTAAGCCCCACGAGAGCTTACCAGTACCATGGACAAAGGGGTCTTAACAAAAAGAAGGTAAACTTTTACAATGCTATTTCTTCAGAAGAGTGATTGCAAGAGTTAGTGATGCTAGAAGAACCCTCAGAAGACGTTGATTTGAGGTTGGGAAGAACCTGTGAAAAGACAGACCAGGGACTGTAGAAATTTCTCAAGCATCTTCTGTAGAGAAAAGGTTTTTACTCTTTATGATACTGAGAAACATAACAAGAATTTTTATTTTGAAAACCCACTCAGGGAATCTATCAATTAAAAACAACTAACCAACTACAGAACTAGTGATTTAAATTTAAGGCCACTTTTTATTACTTATTTTAGAAAATGCTTATTTTCAGTTACAATGTAATCTAGAAAAGAAACACAAAAATAAAGTTTTAGTAAGAGTTTTGTAACTAAATGAGCTAAGTTAACATTTATACACCAAACATGTTCAAATATAGTGCTTTCTAGAAATGGCTCACTGCTTGTAGTGCTATTTAAATCCCGAAGTGAACATAAAAAGCCTTCTTATGATGTTCTGTAATGTAAAGGTAAAAAAACCCTTTGGGCAGTAAGAAATCTTAGTGTGAATCAACCCAAGAATTGCAGTGTACTATGAAAGTAGGAAGAGAAATATATTCCCCAACCTTAAATGTACAATGTCCACACATTATATTTAAAGGCTATTTAGAATACCCTGAACATGCAGGGCAGGGAAGCAGGTGGCAGGAATCTATTGTTCTCTATAAAACACATTTACCCTCTTACATCATGCAATATTTGCTACAAGCATTGTTTTGGTGGAGATCCAATGAATGAATGTTATAAATATCAAAAGAAAAGTGCAAAAGAAAAAATTTCAGAATAAAGGACTTTATTCAATAATACTGAAGAATTAAAGAAAGTGTTAACAACAACAACAATGAGAATAAAACTTAATTGGAAAAGAGACCTTTAGGTTAACCCATTAGGTTAATTGCTTTATAAAGTGGTATCTGAAATATATTCACAGTTCTTATTCTAGGTAATCTTGTACAAGAATTCAAGAATCTCTCCACTCCCTTATCCAGATCAAAGAAAGCCAAGATACATCAGCAACATGCTGGTCTGCTTGTTTTCCTTTTTCTTTTCTTTTCAAATTTGAGGTATTATTCTTTACCAATTTTATGGAAAACAAAAAACAAAAATAACTCAATAAAGTATAGTTTAAAAAGGAGGAGAGTGACAATGTAAGACATGTTTTAGAATGTAAAAGAAACGGATTTTGATACTATGTCTATAGTGATGTTCAGCCTTTTGTAACCTCTAGACACCGTGGTCTGGGACAACTGGATTCTGTGCTTCTAACAAGGAGGATGTCAGAAGGAATTGTACTACATACTGCAGTTTAAAAATCCTGTGTGTAAATATCAGAGGCATGATCTTTGAGTTCTAAAATAAGCTTTGGAATTTTTTAAAAATTATTAAATCGAGAGAAAAAAATGTTTTAGTAAAATTTCCAAGTAACTCAGGCTAGGAAAAAAAAAAAAAAAAACCAAAACTGGAATCTTGCCTATTGGGAGAGGCAATTTCTATTTTTATTGCACAGTTCAGTGCTTTAACTGATTGGTTAAAGAGGGAGCAATTCCACACTGCCCACAAAGGAGAAGCCTCCCTGTCGGGACTATGAGTACCTCAAATAGCAACACGACACAAGACACGCTTTCCTTTTCCACAGGGATTGAAATCGGTACACTAATCTGGAAAAAAAAAATACCAGAGGCACTGTTCTACTCAAAATCTCACTTCTTTACAAATTAGAGGCGAATCTAATGTTATACTCCTACACATGCACTGAATGGGCCAACTAGGCTATGGTCAATTGTACTATACTGGCATCTTTCATGAACATATTATGAATAAAATTCAAATTTAAAATGTAAAAACTAAATACAATTACAGTTCTCACTCTCATCTCCAACCCCACTCCAAATCAAATTGTGGGTCAACAAGAAGCTTACTATTACTAACATCGATTCTGGCAGAACTTAAGGAACTAAGTACTCCTATTCACTCTATGAGTTGTGCTTTCTGACGACTGCTATTGCATTTTCTAACATAACTAAAGCTTTTTATCAGAGTGCTCTAAACGCTAGGATTTTCTGGTGGTCCTTCTCACTCAAGAGAACTATGTCCTGCTGCTCTAAGCCTACGGCATGGCTGCATGGGATGAGTTATCTTCAGAGAGGTCATGCATATGGAGTGGCTCTAGTCATGCGCCAGCTGGGGAGAATTGAGAAGAGTCCCTCAAATCATTTTCCAAAGGGCTCAATTCCCTCTTTCTCAATCTAGTTGAGAAAGGCTGCAAGAATATGTACAGAAGTATTTTTCAAGCCTAGGAGACTGTCCACAGTGCATCTATGGCAAGCAGAATGCATAACTATTTGTGTTCAACTGCCACAAAAAATAAAATAAAATAAAGAAAAAAAATAAGAACCTAGCTGCACGCGGGAATCTGAGAATTGGAAATCATGTATTTTTTTTCCATCACATTGTCAGTGGATCACCTTTTATGCTAGAAAGCAAAAAGTATGCTGCGGAATGTGGCCCTGAATGAATCATCAGGAAATGAAAGTAATCTACAAAAAGAAATGAATTAAACTGGCAAGTGGATGGTCTTCTGCTGAATAAGGGCTGACGATGCTCAGTGGAAGTTGGAGGTGAACAGTGTGAGTGGGAACAGGCTCCACATTGCGATTGTTCATCAGTTTATAAACAAATGTGACCAAGACACTTACAGCAGTGTGTGTGCCATCCAGAAAGTTCTGCCACCTTCCAGTCACACCCACACACAGAAATAGCCTTCCCTGTCAGGACAGCTCTTGTGTGGATGGAACATAGGGCATGAGCCCTAATCAGCACATGCTCTTACACAGGCAGGAGAACCAGACGCTTTGAGTTACACTGTTAAAAGCAATCAGGCTGCCCACAAAGAATAGTTTGGAAACGTGAAGTGTTTTATTTTGTACTGTTTCTTTAAAAAAAAAAAAAGTGTCGATCATCAATGAGTCATCTATATAAATAATTTTCCTGGCAACAGAAGTTAACTTTAAACCTCCCATTTGAAAACTTCACAACTTCAAGTATTTGAAATGCACGGAAAGTTCTCCCCTGTTTTTACTGTATATAGTACATTCTCAGAGTAATGAGCTGACTCTTGAGGTTGAAAAATTTCAAAGAAAGCTCAAAATTTTTACTAGGATGTATCAGGACAAATGAGCACTCCCTTGGTGGAGACCCATTTGAACAGTACTACTCGTCTTTCATTTTTCCCAGAAAATAGAAAGTGGGGGAGAGAGGCACACCTGTACCATTCAGGTCAAAGCACAAAATAGCATTTAAAAAATAAATACCTAAGGCATATGTGCCGCACTTCTACATCAATTTCCTCAGCTGTTTAAAAATGATCTGGACTGTGGTTGCATCGCCACCTGCCTTCCACCAGCCACCTTGGTGTCCCTTTCCCACTGAATCTGCCTCTGGAGGGTGACTGCTCTTTGTCACCTGTCATGAAGCCTGCAGTTTGACATCGCGGAACTTCACATGCAATTTCAGAAACTCAAATGACACTGTATGGACTTGCTTTAAATCTTTTTTTAGTGCAGTTTGGCAAATATCCCAAATGAAATTCAACTCTAAGTTAAAAGTATCAAAGAGATAGAGCTAAGTGTGTCTATGACTCTCTGCCCAGAGGCCCTGGAGAGCTTAGGAATAGAAAACCTAATGGCTCTGGAGCGGCAGGGACTGCAGGCACCTGTTGCTTCACCACAACAGAACAGTTACCCACAGAGACAGCAGGAGGCGGAGGCCCAGGGGCAATCATGTTTCTGGGCTGCTGGGTTGCTGTGAATATCTTTAAAGGCCAACGACCCCTGCACCCTCCCCTCTGCCCCTACCCCCCAATCTCAGGTATGTTGGCATCCTCCCCACTATAACTCACAGTGTTAAGAACAGCAAGCATTAAACACGGAAATCTGATCTCTTCTGCTCCATCTTCTCCCTCCGGGACTCCAGCGGCTCTCACTTTCAGGCTCTACCTGCTGGTGTGAACTGCACTTGGGTTTTGGTTTCTAGAAACAAGGTTATTATATAAAGCTGTCTGGAGGGACCACCACTAGATGGTCAAGTCACCTGGTCTGGCCCGACCACTGCTGGCCTTACTAGCCTTGCTGGCTCGACCTGGCTCTACAAGGAGCAAGGGTGGCGTGTGCAACTCGGCCGCGGTGGTCACTGCCTGCTCCTCCTCTTCTGGAGTCACTGCCAAGGCACTGTCCTCCAAGCTGCTACCGCTCCCATCCACCAGCAGCAAAGGCGCGGTGGCCCCAGTAGCCCCAGCCCTGCCCTCCTGCAGGGCCGGCTGGGTGCCGCTGCCTGTGGGGCTCGGGGCTGCAGGACTGGACGCCGCTGGGGAGTCCTTTCTTGCCGGACTCTGCTGCTCCGCTGCCTGATTGGCCCAGTTCTGCTCGGTCATCAGCAGGTGGTGGCCATTGTAGAGTTTGGTGGGGTGGCCTTGCCCCTGCGCTTCGGTCAGGGCTCCCACTTTGAAGTCTGCCGCTGGACCAGGTGGGGCCCCAGGGTACCCAGGGGCCCTGACCTGCCCCAGGTTCGAGGCAGAGTGCGTGTAGTAAGGCGGGAAACCTATGGTGACAGTCGGCGGGCCAGAGCAGGAGGGGAGAGGAGGTGGGTCCACGGCCCCCTCTCTGGCTTCCGAGGGGTCTGGGCCGAGGTGGTTGGTCATTCCCTGTTTCAGCTTTTTCCAGCCCAGGTGATAGATCTCCAGCATGTTGAGCAAGAGAGATGCGCAGGCCACGGCCAGCATGAAGATGATGAATATGGTCTTCTCCGTAGGCCTGGAGATGAAGCAGTCCACAGTGTTGGGGCAAGGCCATCGGTCGCAGCGGTAGAGGGGCTTCAGCTCAAAGCCGTACAGAAAGTACTGGCCGGCGATGAAGCCCACTTCAAAGAGCGTCTTGAAGATGACATTGAAGACGTAGGTGCGCAGCAGGGCGCCGGCGATGCGCACCTTGCCGCGGTCGTCGCGCACCTTGCCCGGGTCCTCACGCACTGGGGGTTTTTCCGGGCTGGTCCCGCCCAGCGCCTCCCTGCCGCTGGGCACGCAGGGCCCGGCCGCCCCGGGGTGCGGGTTGTCCCTCTTCAGCAGCTCCTCCTCCCTCTCTTTCTTCTTCTCTTCCATGCGCACGATGTGCAGCACGTGCCCCAGGTAGATGAGGGTGGGCGTGGAGACGAAGATGATCTGCAGCGCCCAGAAGCGGGTGTGGGAGATGGGGAAGGCCCGGTCGTAGCAGACGTTCTCGCAGCCCGGCTGCTGGGTGTTGCAGGTGAAGTCGGACTGCTCATCGCCCCAGACCTCCTCGGCCGCGGCCCCCAGCACCAGGATGCGGAAGATGAACAGCACGGTCAGCCAAACCTTGCCCACCACCGTGGAGTGCTCCTGCGCGTTCTCTAATAGTCTCCCCAGAAAGCTCCAGTCGCCCATTGCTTCAGATTTCTAACCTGTAACGGGAACACTGCTCGTGAATGCGCAGGTTACAAGTGAGGCAGAGCCCACCGCCCGCGGGGCAGCCCCTGCTGTGGATGGTGCTCTACGGGCCTTACCAGTGCTGGATGCCAGCTTCCAGGCATGGGCAGGGTGGAGGGGTGAGAGAGGGAGGGAGGGAGGGAAGGAAAGAAAGAGAGAGAGAGAGAGGGAGGGAGAGAGAGAGAGAGAGAGAGATCCCTTTACGTTGCCAAACAGGATGAAATAAACGTCTACAGCACCTGTTATTACTAAGTTGCTGTTATACTATGCAAGTGCTGGCATAAATGAATTAACCACGGGTTATTTACAACGCTCTTCAGAGGAGGAAACCAGAGCTAGCATAGAAATGACAACCTCCGGCCTCCTAACCTCCCAGCGTTCTCTCCCAGGGTGTTCTCTCCACAAGAGCTCTAGGGTTCTGAGTTCCATTTGGGCTAATTCCTTTTTTATTTTAAATACTTATTAATTTAATTTATTCATTCCTTTATTTTAATTTGACCAGAGAGAGACAGAGAGAGAGAGAGGGCAAGTGAGAAAGCAAGCCACCAGGTCCAAGACTCGAACCATGGTCAGCCACGTAGGAGTGTCAAGTACCTTAACCACCACGCCACCTGCTGGCCCCAGTTGGGCTAATTCCTAACCTTTGCTTTTCTATTACTGTGGGAATGGAGCAAGCTTTTCCCAAAATGCTATCATTTCCAAGGTGCCTCATAACTGCTACCGTATTAATCTGCTACCTTTTCTATTAACTACTTTTTCTTCCTATCAACTTTTCATGCTGGAATTTATGTTAAGTAGGAAAAGTTACATTACTACTCTGCAATAAATGGAAAATCGGCAATAGTTTTAAGAATATATATGTTGATGACAATGAAGCTGTTACATTCTACTGCATATTTTTTGTGAAAAGCTATGATAAACTTGCTCTTTGTTTTATTAGAAAAGGAAGATTAAGAGTATCAGAGAGTCTTAAAGATATACTAGTATCAATCCAAAGCCACATTAAGATAGAAACAGAACTGTATTTTTTCTCACTATGCGATTCAGCATCAGTTAACAGGCTATGTAAAATCACCTCTCTGCCATTTTTTTGCAGTGAAGAAAATGATCATACCCAAGTCTTCACTAGAATCAAAAAGTCTCCACTCATGTTGATTTTTAAAATGTCTTAAAAATATTGGGACTAGTGGGTGGTATAGTGGTTATGCCACTGGATTACCACGTAATCAACTAAGGTTTGTGTTCTGGACCTGGTAGCTTAAATTCATGCCAGGTACATGTGCATGCATGCCCAAAATCCTGAGAGGGGATTGGAGAAGATTGCAGCACCCACTGAGGAGTGATTTCTCGCTCTGTCTCTGTCTCTAGCTCTCCAGTGTGCACATTTGCCTTATAGCAGAAGTCTCTCTAAAAAAAAATAATAATAATTTTTTTGGAGGGAATAGCAGATGGCATGATAGTTACACTGCTGGACTCCCACGTAGTCAACCGTGGTTTGTGTCCCGGATCCTGAGACTTAAAACTCATGTTGTGTGGCATGTGTGTGCATGGCGTGTGTGTGCATGCCCAAAATCCTGAGGAGAACAGAGAAGGGACTGCAGTGTGGCCATTCCCTCTACAGGAATGCTTTCTGTTTCTCTCTCTGTCTCTCTGGCAAGTGCACGTGCCTATAATAAAAAAATATTAATTTTTATAATAAAACTTTCTTCATTAGCTATCTAAAGAAACAGATAAGTATTAACTCTCTCTTATGGATCAGGCAGTGGCACAGCAGTAATGCAAGTGGAGCCACAGGAGAAGGTCCCGGGCTCATGTCCTCGGACCTCCCATTAAGGTTGAACACACACACATGCTGGGCATACATGCACACCCATGATCTGGGCTGGTTGACGCTGGGGGTGAAGCCTTTCTCTCTAATGGAATACACTAAAATAATAATAAACTTCAACGTTTTGCTTTGGTCATTTTAGATCTTCAGAGAAATCTTACTATTCCTGTAGCCTACCGGTCTCCTTGCCGCCTATTGTGACTGGCTTGTTTTTGTATGTTCTTAGGAGAAGGTCAAATGTTTTACTCTAGGAATGTACATGAAACGACCCTCTCCTCCCCATGACCAGTCAGGGAGCCATCTTGGTTACTCCCTGCTTCCCTTCCAAGCCATCAATCCTAACTCTGTTGGCCCTCACAGCCCCCTCTCTGGGCTGGCGGGCACTCACTCCCCCCCAGGCAGTCATGAGGTTCCCTACTGGCATCCCTGCCTACAGCCCTCTCCTCCCCAATGTCTGCCTGAGGTTACAAAGGGCTGAGCCTGACACTGTCAAGCCCTGAGGCAAAAACTGTGCACAAGGCAAAAGCTGTGGTGGCACGTGACACCCACCAGGACTTGGTCTTGGAACTGAGTCCACCAAACCTCCTCAGTCCCTGAACCCCGCCTTCATGCCTCTGACCAGGCTATGGCTCCAACCTGTAACCCGGCTCCAAGGCAGGCCCGGCCTGCTGACCCGCTCGCCTCCACATCCCCCTCAAGGGTGCCCGATTCAGGCCTACATCAGTTTGCTGGCCTCTCTCATCCTCCTTGCCAAGCCCTGGTTGAGCAGCCACTGCTCCCTCTGTTCTAGGAGGCTCTCTCCAACCTCACACACCTCCACCTGCTAAGCTTCGCCGGTCACCTCCTTGCCATCCCAGGACAAGCACAGAGAACCCCTACCTGTTGTCAGCTCTCCCCATCAGCACCCTGGTTCTGAGGGTGGGGCTGGCACGTGGGACCTTCCCTACTTGATGCCTGTAGGCAGAGCAACTGGACCAAGTGCTTTCCTGGAGGTGTCTGAGGAGGGGTCAGGGTGGAGTTAACACTTCTTTCGGCCACCTTCCCAGACGCCTGGGCAGTCCTATCTTGTCAGCCACAGGGTCCTGTGTGTGCTAACAAGCAGTCACTGCAATGTGCTGGAACCGATGACCAGGCAGGCTCTCACACAGGGAGGGTGCACACAGCACAATAAGGGAGGGGACTTAATGCTTGTCACAGAGTGGACAGTGCTACTGGCATTTCCCTGTGGGGCCAGGGAGGTAAAATGGTTTGCAATGTTTGAGTGCCCTCACAGGAAAGAACAATTCCGCTCCAAATGCCCATCGAGCACCTGTTGAGAAACAACTCCTCAACCAGTTAGGCAGACAGAGGAGGTGGGGAGCTTCTGTGGTATCTTATCACTCCTTACAGCCAACTCAGCCCTCGGCATAGTCCTCCAGGCCCAGGTGCTGCAAAATCACTCAAATATGTGCCCTTGGAATTGCACCGTGACCTCAGAGTGCACCCCATGAAAACGATGTGTTACCACTGGACGCTCTGCCTGTACTCTGGCCATGGCTCACTAGTTCAGAGACACGATGACCGAGAGTGTGACCTCAGTGGGAGATCCAGCTCTCACTGTGCTGCATATGAGGGAGTGCACAGTGGTAAGATCTTTCTGGAAAAGAATTTACGAACATGTATTAAAGATGTAAAAGGAACAATATCTCTGACCTCTAACTCTACTCCTGGGACGTTACACTGAGGAAATAATCAGAGGTGTGGGTAAATGTATGTGCATGGTTTATTGTAATGTTCCTTATAAGGGGCAGCTGGAAACAGAATGTCCACTAAAGGACAAAATTGTGGTGGCTGGCTGTTCACAGCTCACACTGTGGTCTGGCCAATCTAGCTCCCACGGCCATTCTCTTGCCTGCTTCTAATGTGATTTTTTTGGGACTGGCAGGCAAAGAGCTTGCTTCCCCTTCCTCTCTGGCAGGGGAGGACTATAAAAGACAATTCTGTCCAATAAAGTCTAAGAAGTCTACATGAGAACTTCTGGGAAAGCTCTAGTATTCTCAGAAAAAGGCAGATGCTAGTTAGGGTGTCTCTTCCTCTTTTTTTTTTTTTTTTTTGAGAGAATTTTGCCAAAGGGTACGTGCATTTGCCGGAGAAACAGAGACAGAGAGACAGAAAGTGAGAAATCACCCTCCAGGAGGATGGTCACACTGCAATCCCTTCTCCTCCACCCCACTCTTGGTATTTTGGGCATGCACACACACCCAGGTCCGAGAGTCAACTACGTGAGAGTCCAGCAATGTAACCATTATGCCATTGGCTGGTCCCTCTTCCTCCTTTTCACATGGAGGTACAGATGTGATGGCTGGAGCTGGGCAGCTATTTTGCAAGCATGGAAGAGTCAATAATGTTCCAAGAGACAACCCCATCAGCCACTTCCGACTTCTTATGTGATGGATGAAAAACAGTATTTGTTTAAATTAGGTTTTGTGTTGCTAAATTATATAGTACCTCGATTTATTTTTATTGAATAAGGCTAGGCATAAGTGAAAAGCTATGGTTCATTCACAACTACTAAAATACAAGGTAACCAATAAATATATTTTTAAAACATTAGTGACATGAGGAGATACTGATGTTAAGAGATGATGAATGACAAGAGTCTTAGATGATTTTATAGTTTGATAGCAGCTATTTTACACACACTCATACATGCAAACAGAAAAAGGAAGAATGATATCGAATGTTAACAGTGGTGTTTCTGATAATGGAGTGATACTTCTTTTCATCTCTGCATTTTCCATAATGACATATCACATGTATCATCATACGAGATTAGTGACTATGACTTCCATTTTTCGAAGTCCTAGTTTTTGAAAAAAATCTGCTGATTCCTTTTTCGTTGTTCTTTCATTACGGTTTCTCTTCCTCTTATCTCTTTAATCATGTCTGTAGTAAGCACACAAAAGACAAACACAGTTCACTTTGCACAATGAGCCCAATGTTAAGAGGACAATGCTCCTGGGCTCACTGAGGTGCATCACAGACCTAGACAGTGGCTATGGCTGAGGACATGGAGCTTACAGTAGATTCTAGTCTCCCACTTCAGAAGCAGCATTTGCAGAAATCCAGTTTCCCTAAGAGACCCCCAACA